CTGCAGAGAATTAGAAAACCAGACATAAAAGAAATTCTCCCTCTAACATAATCAGATGTATTCTGTGAAGTTGCTGACGACACCAGATTCTGCTAGAGTGTTTTGGAGCCCAGATGGATCTGATGTGTAAAAGGAATGAGTAAATGATCACACGCTTGGATTCCACTTAATTTTTGGATGCCCCAGCCTCTCAACTTTTGGAGGTTGAGACAGACTCATTTCCTGACAGCCTAGATTTGGAGCATTTGGGGCCCTTGTTTACAAAGTGTCCCCTTTCTTCACAAGTACCACCCTTAATTGATGGTTTGGAAGGCAGAAGTTCTTAGTAGGGCACTCATGTGTGAAGTGACATAGTTTTCCACAGTATAAACTTGCATATGCTGGTACAGATTTTATTGGGCAGAAAGCATTTCTACTACAGTAGTGTCCAGCTCCTTAGGTTCAACTACTGAATGCAGCCAAAAATTTTAAGGTGACCTACCAAATGAGTTCCCCCCTATATTTCAAATACATCCTCAGGGGTGTCAACAAAATTGGCATAGCTGTCCATGTTCAGGCTGTTCTATATCAGAAGAGTTTTGCACTTCTCTTGGTCAAGAGGCTGATGATAAATAGTTTATGAGGCTGAAGATAATAGTTGGTGGGAAAATCCTCCAATTTTAGAAAGACGTATAGCTCACCTTGAGTGAAGAAGGTAGTAAATTCGCCCAGATGCATCATACTTGTTAGGCAAGGAGGTGGGTATTCTGCTTCAGGTGACTCTAATTGCAGCAGCATATTGAACCAGGAGCAGCACTGGAGCCATGCATTTGGCCAATTCTAGATTGTCTCATCATCTGGGTTAATCGTCCATCTGGGTTGCATCTTGGTTCTGATATTGGAGCAAAGCATTAGCATTCCAGTCTACAGTCAATGGGGTTGTAAATGGAACTGTAGCCATTGCTTAATCTTAGAGTCAGAGCATGGCAATGGAAGTAGTGAGGTGGAGAACTTGCTGTCAGAACTACGTATCAGTTATGGCATTAGACTCTCCCCACTTCACATTCCTGAGCAGACTCAGATTAGCAAAGGAATATGAAGCCACGTATACAATCTGTCTTCTATTTACAACACTCAGAAATCCTGTCTTTTTTGTACAGTGGACCCAAGGTTTGAATCCAGGTCTCTTTCTCCTGCTTTTTTTGAGTAAATGATTCTGTGGCTATTTATTTGACAGGTTCGAAGGGTTTTTTTGCCATCTGTCCATTGTTTACAGGGCTTTCTTTGGCATGAAAATCGGAGATTTTCTGCCTCACCAATTCCAGACTTAACATTTCTGCATTGTGACTTGGTAGGCAGCTTTGATTGGCTAAATCTACTGTTCTAAGCACCCGCCTACACTTGCCCAATCCCACTCCACCCCACCTTATGTTAGAGAGACTGATTGGTGGTGGTTTTCCTGCCAAAAGGCAACACTTGATAGGAGGGGAAACAAAGCCAGAGAAATCCACCAATCCTTTTCCTTAACATGGCCTGCAGTAGATACAGGAAGGCAGTAGATATACCAGCCTTATTGCTCTTGCAAAATAGGCATCAGCAATGGGGGAGGGGGGCATAATTTATGCCAGTTTACTTTTCTGTTGATGGATAACATTTTAATGTGGCTAACTGGAAAAGCCCTTATACTCAAGAGTATAGTTCAGAGAGAACCTCTGAGGCTGTCATGTCTAACCATCAAACCCATAACATTAATTTATAAAACAATTTAAAAATATATTCCTTAAAATACCCTTCAAGCAGTAACATCTTAAATTATTTCCAGAGGGGTTTTTTTACTTGCTTACAGACCTAGATTGTTTTCCTTCTGTAAATCCATTTAAATTTTAGTTCAGTCCTGCAGTTCACTTTAATATGATTTAGGGAATAGAGTGCCTTTTTTAACATCTTTTTTCTTTGTTCGTGTTGCTTCCAGGTAGACGGTAATAATAATTTGTGGTTCAAAAGCAAAAGAATTAATAGTTGAGAATTTGTTGCATTTATATGCCACTAATTCAAGTCATTTTGAAACTGGGAGAATGAGTTACTGATTTCTCATTCACATTATATAGTTAGGATTACCTTAAAATAAACACACAAGGCAAATATACTTTGTTTTTTAAGGCCAAATTAGGAATGTAATGGTATGTGGAAAAGACCTTGGGAGACTGGGCAAAGAGATGCTGCCAAGGGAATGGTCAGATAAGAGACAGCATAATCCACAGCTGGATAGTGGGCAGGGCAAGAGGCTCAGAAGAGACCCTCCCTAGTTTCTTGGGTTGTAAAGGAGACCGGGGGGGAATGTACTTTCAGACTTGCAAGATTCTGTCAGTGTAGCTTCACAACAAAGTAGAATTAGCTCATCTGGTCGTGTTTCCTACCTGGTTAGCCTAACGAGGATGACAAGGAGGACCTGTTGGTTCTTTTGATTTTTTTACAGTGAAAGGAGAGGTTGTTAGTTTTGCAGTCAATGCACTGAAAATGTTCCACCCCTTCTGGTTTGCTACCAGATACAACTATGTAAATGTAAACAAGGTTTCAGCATACCTTTCAAGTAGCTTTTTATATGTAATAGTAGTACAATTCTACTGAGGGATGTTATGCTGTTGGGATTAATATAATGCATCTCTTCACAGGGTCATTCAAGTTTCATTACTCACTTGGATTGGTCTGCTAACTCTCAGTATCTTGTGTCTAATTCAGGGGACTATGAAATCCTATACTGTAAGTAACAAATAGTATATTGCCCTTAATACAGAGTACATTCTTTACAACCAAGATTCCATTACAGAGAAGAGACTTATCTTTGGTCTCTTAGTTTTCAGTTAATTCTTATCCTAAGCCTTCATCATTAATGTTATGTCTTTTTCCCTTCCCCCTCCCTTTATTCTTAATAGGGGTTCCTTCAGCTTGTAAGCAAGTAGTAAGTGTTGAAACCACAAGAGATATAGAATGGGTTACTTATACCTGCACTCTAGGATTTCATGTTTTTGGTAAGTATGTAATGTTTCTCACAGACTAACATTTGGTAAATTAGTGGAGAGTTTTTTGTCTTCAGTAATATTTTTATTAGAGTTTTACATAGTTAAAAGCTAATATAGAATTAGAAAAGATACACAGACAAAAAAGAAGAGAACAAGAGAAAGAAAAAGGAAAAATAATCATATAAAAAGTGAGCCCCCTCCCTCCACACAAGTATAAACATTTACAGTAACATAACACCTTCTTTAATATTACAGAAAAAAAACCTCTTCTTCCCATTTCTCATCACTAAAGAATAACTAAATTATAGAAAGATTCATTGAACAGTCTTACTCAGCAAAAGCATTAAGAGTACCAGTAGTAATAACCTATTATTTTAAACTTAGACAAATAAATCTATTTTGCATTTTGACTCAGAACTTTCTCTAATAAGTAAAACGTAAAAGATTTATCCCCATAGATATAATGAATATCAATAATAGTAACATATATATTTTTAACTAAATCCATTAGGTCCCTTTTACATTCTAACCCATAACTTTTTCTAACAAATAGGAAGTAAAAGAGTACAGTGGTACCTCGGGTTACAAACCCCTCTGCTTACGAACTTTTCGGGTTACGACCAGCTCTGGCCGCAAAAATTTACCTTGGTTTGCAAACTCCACTTCGGGGTACGAACCGGATCCGCGGCCATTTTCCGCCGTGACACGTGGTCTGTGGCCATTTTTCCGCCCGTGCCACGTGGTCCGCAGCCGTTTTTCCACCCTGCCGCACAGTCCGCGGCCGTTTTTCCAC